CAGCGCTGCTGGGCCCAGCAGAGCTCCAAGGCTCTCCTTTGGGGCCGCTGCTCACAGGGCCCCAAGGCATGGGCGGCACTCACAGCAATGGTTCAGCCTGGCCACACTTGGGGCCGGCAGCTTCCTGGGACAGTGGCAGAGCAGGGATGCTGTGGCATCCAGGGTAATACAATAATTTCCAAGGCTGTTGATAAAAGCCCAGGAGGTGGTTGGACAGCAGCAGTTGCTGGGAGCAGAGGGTGTTTCTGATCAGCGCCACAGCAGCTGAGCCCAGGGGCTGCTCCTCAAGGCTGAGGCCTAAGGAGCCTTTCTGAGATCCCCATGCAACCTGATTTTACGAAAATTAATACAGGAACATCAGAGGTTTATGTCCAAACAGGAGATTGAGGAGTCCTTTGACTTTATTTGAGTAAAGGTCGAGGCTATCAGGCATTCCCCTGGGATCTCTCACATTTTTGGAGGACGCAGCCTCCCTTTTTATCCCAATTTCCTGGCTGCATTTTCCTTCTCTTTTCTGACTGGCTCAGGTACTTGAGAGGTACAGACTCCCCAATACACCTGATACCAGAGATTTCCCTCTAATGCATAATCCACCCTTTCAGTTTTAAATTCTTACACAATTTAGGGGTTTTTCTTCCCCACTGTTTCTTTCATGTTTCAATGTCTAATTTCATTTATCAGCAAACCTAAAGTTTATTTGTCAATGGAAATATCTTTTCCATTCTTCAATCAGTGGAATCCTTCCCATTGTTTCTTTTATGTCCCCGTGCTAATTGTATCTACCAGCAGACCCACAGCTTGTTTGTAAAAACAAATTTGCTATTCCTCTCACTAGAAAATGGTTGGGTCATGCATCAGCACAGGGAGGGTGACACTTTAGGTATTTATTCATCAGGTGAATTAAGCAGTCCCTCAGCCACACTCCCAGAGTCTCTCAGCAGTGCAGCAGGAAGATTCAACAGACTCAGAGCACTGTGTACATGGCAGGATCATCTCTGAGGAAAATGTTTTCTTCTATCTCCTCAAAGGCTATAGGGAGAGCTGGAGGGACTGCATGAATCTGGGACTTCTGCACCTCCCTGCAAAGAAGTAGATGAAGGGTTTGATGCTGCTATTGATGCAGGTGAGCAGGAAAAAAAAATGGGAGGCCACAGCAATGTAAGCGAGCTGCTGCAGGAAATTGCAGAGGATGAAAAGGAGAGTGAAGAGACCAATGAAGATGATAACGATGTCGAGCCCCTCGGGTTGCTGCTGCTGGGAGACCCACTTGGCCTTAATTAAATTAATTATGCTGGAAATGACCGGCACAGTTATGGGTGCAACAAAGAGGAGCAGGATGATGGCCCAAACAACAATGAGAGCTGCCTGGCAGTGCTCCTGCTCGTTAGATGGACACAGGAATGTCAGTGTGGGAATCTCAGTGAAGATAGCAGAGAAAGCCCAAAAATGGGCCAACAGCACCACAAATAAAACTTTGACGGGAAGGTCACGGTGGCAGCAGAGCTTCCAGAGAATTGCGATCCACACTGTAAGGCTGCCACCTGACAGCCCGAGTGGCACCCAGTAGCAGGAGAACACTGACAGCCGGTAAAGGAAACGCAGGTACAGCAGGGGCAGGATAGGAGAGCAGGACACGTCCTCCACCAGGAGGATGAGGGCCGAGGGGACTGTGAGGAGAAGGAAGAGGAAGTCAATGACAGCAAAGATAAAGATGAAAAAGTTAATACCCTTCAGGCTGAGGAGCCAGAGCACAGCCCCGTTCCCAGCCAGCCCACAAAGGCCAATGAGCAGGGTCACACTGTGTATGGCCACATTGGTGACATCGGTCTCACAGAGATCATCCGCTTCAGTAGGTGAGGCAGGAGATGGGGACACGGTGGTCACCTCCATGGATGGACGCTGGGCAGGCAGTGGGATGTGGCCCCTGGCTGTGGTCAGAGTGGATGGGCAGTCAGTGCTTGGAGAATCCAGGGATGGACCATGTGGCTCCTCAGCAGCTCCCTGCAGTGGGAAGGATTCATTCGGGAGGAGTGAGATGTGCAGGGGAGGAGGGCAGTAGAAATAGAGGGGTGTGAAAGTGAGGTGGGAGGGTTGGTCAGTTCGGCAGGGGATGTTAAAGCATAGCTCAGAGCAGAGGAGGGGGGAGCTGGGGAGGGCCCTGCGGTCACCTGGAGAGGGTGGCAGGAACAGAGCAGCTGCTGCAGGAGAGGAAGGTGGGGTAGGGAGGAAGGCAAACATTCCACTGACCTGTTCCCTGTGGGGCAGCAGCAGGCAAAGGGGTCTGTGCAGATCAGCGGCGCTTCCTGGTCCCTCTTGCTCCTTTGGGATCCATGTCCTAAAGCGGCTCCTGCCAGGTCAGGGACATGAAGGAAAAAGTGCCCAGGTCATCAGGAGCTCCTCATTCCCATCGTGCTGGCTCCTCTCTGTTCCCTGTCCTGATATTGCTCCCCAAGGCTTGGTGGAATCACACGGAATTGAGGAAGTCAAAAATTGCAACTTTGCCTACTTCAGAAATTCAGTTCCTCTGAGTTATTTATCTCGGATGTGGTTTTTGTTTCTTCTTTTTTTTTTTTTTTCTGAGGAAGTGGCTTTTCTCAGAAGCTGTATATGAATTTTTTTTCTGATTGGCTCCTCTTTCCATTCTGATGAGAAACACTCCTTCCCTGCAGAGTGTTCCAGTCTCCAACTACCTTCCCTCTCTAGACAGGTTTCTACCATTCCTCATTTCTCTTCCCTGAGGTGTCATGGTCCCTCCAGCAGCAGAGGGATGCTGGTGGTGCTGGTTGCACCAGAATGCTGCCGGTACTGGCAGTGTGGGTGAGGCAGCTGGGTGCTTCTCAGAAACAACTCCTGTTCCGGGAAAGGGCTCTGAGATCATTGCCAAAACATGCTCTGGTCCGAGGAAGCACAGTTGAGCTGCTTCCTCCTCCTATCCCGATCCCATCCTCATGCCTTCTCCTCATCCCCATCCCCACCCCGCTCCATCCTCACCCCATCCTATCACATCCCACAGCTTTCCCAGATGGAGCTGTTTCCTCACTCTGAGCGTGGCCTGTCAGGCTCTGCTCTCCTCCAGTGGGGAGATTTGGGATTGTCGGCATCCAGACCCCCTCCAACCCACTCTGAGCCTCTCCTGACCCCTCCAACACCGCCTGCAACACCCCAGACCATCCCCAGGGCCTCCTTTTCCTCCCAACAGCCCCGATCCTGCCCTGCTCCACCAGGGACCCCCAGCAGTGCCCTGCTCCTCCTGGCCATAGGGTTCTTGGACCCAGGAGAGAGGAAAAAGTCCAGCTCCAATGTGCTCTGCAGGATCACACAGGATGATAAATGTGGCTGGAGCCAGTGCAGAAACAGATTTGGAGGCCTGCAGTGGTTTTGGGGCAAGTTCTGTAAGAAGAAGCAAGAGCACATGGCCAAAGGAAAAGTTCAAGGCAAGGTCACCTTTAATATCTCAGCACTCAGTGAATGCAACCACCACAGACCCCTCTGAATGATCCTCCAGGATCAGGAGAAGACTTGGAGAAGGAGATGGATGCATGGAAATGAGTCCTAGTAAAGTGATGTTTATCTATTATATAAAAAAGACACTTTATTGACTCTGTGTAGTTGTGATGAATAAAAACCCTGTTGTAAAGTCTCACATCAAACAGAAATATGGAGAGATCAATCTGTGTGTCCTTTGGAGGTAAAGAATTCCTGCTTCCTAATGCTTCCCATTGTGTTTGAAAGTTTATTCTGGCTGATTCTGGTATCACTCCCATTCTGATCTCCACTCCTCTCCCCATGCCATGCCATGCCATGCCATGCCATGCCATGCCATGCCATGCAATGCCATCCCATCCCATCCCATCCCATCCCATCCATCCCATCCCATCCAGTGCTGCTCCCCACCTTGAAGCGCTGCCCATCAGGCTCTGCTGCCCTCCAATTGGGACATTTGGGATCAGCAGCATCCAGACCCTTCCTGACCTCCTCCAGATACTTACAGAACTCTCTTACCCTTCTGGACCCCTCTGACAACCTCCAGACCCTCCCTGGCTCCGTCTTTTCCCCTGTGACAGCCCCGCTCCTGCCCTGTACCACCCAGGACCATGAGCAGTGTCTGTGCTTCCCCCAGCCATTCCTGCTTTTGTACATGAAAATAAACAATTTAGCAAAGAAAGGACATGAACAGCATTTAGCTGGAATGTGTCTCATGCCTTAACCTTGCTTCCAGGCCTGCCCCAGTGAGATGTCTCAGGTACTAACACAGCTGAGAGAGCAGCATTTCTGCCACATTTGCCCCAGCAGATGCAGACGTGTGTGCACACAGCCAGCCAGCCAGCCAGAGTCAGTGCAAGGTGCCTGTGAGCAATTGCCCTGGCAGGCAGTGAAATGCTCCCTGTGGATCCCTTTGCATCTCCTCCCTGGGCCAAGGGCTGGGCCTGGAGCCCTGGCGGGATGGGCCAAGGAGCCGTCGGCGTTCGGGGATCAGCCCAGGGCAGCAGCCGGGAGAGATCCCAGCTGGGAGAGGCCCCAGTGCCAGGGAGCTTCTGCTCAGCGCTGCTGGGCCCAGCAGAGCTCCAAGGCTCTCCTTTGGGGCCGCTGCTCACAGGGCCCCAAGGCATGGGCGGCACTCACAGCAATGGTTCAGCCTGGCCACACTTGGGGCCGGCAGCTTCCTGGGACAGTGGCAGAGCAGGGATGCACTGGCATCCAGGGCAGTACAATAATTTCCAAGGCTGTTGATAAAAGCCCAGGAGGTGGTTGGAGAGCAGCAGTTGCTGGGAGCAGAGGGTGTTTCTGATCAGCGCCACAGGAGCTGAGCCCAGGGGCTGCTCCTCAAGGCTGAGGCCTCCCAAGCACGGATCAGAGCCCAGAGCGACCTGGAAAGGGGCTGGGGATGCAGCAGCACAGGGAGGGTGATCCTATGGGTATTTATTGATCAGGAGACTCAAGGAATCTCTCAGCCACTGTCCCAGGGTCCTTCAGCAGTGCAGTGGAAGGGATCAAGAGGCTCAGGCCTCTCTGTACATGGTGGTATCATGGCTGTGGTCAGTGTTGTCTTCTGGCTCCTCAAAGACCCTCTGGAGGGAGAGCAGGAGGGACTCCACAGAGCAGGGCCTCCAGCACCTCCCCACCAAGAAGCAAATGATGGGGTTGCTGCTTCTGTGGATGCAGATGAGCAGGAAAACAACCTGGGAGGGCACAACGATGTAGCTGAGTTCCGGCAGGAAATGGCGGAGGCTGAGGGGCAGAGTGAAGAGCACAATGAGGCAGATAACAATGTCGAGTCTCTTGGGCTGCTGCTGATGGAAGCCAGGCTTGAAATGAGTGAAGACAATTTTGCTGGAAATGAGGATGAAGGGAGCACAGAGGAGGAGGTTGGAGGCGTGCATGGAGATGTAAGAAACCCAGCAATGCTCAGATAACAGGACAATGCATAGAGAAAATATTATGGCAATGACAATGATGAAAGTGATGAAGAAGGCCCTGAGCATGGCATGGATCACCTTCAACAGCTGCTGGGGATGGTGGCAGCAGTGCCAGAGTGGGCAGTGGATGGACCTGCACCTCTTGATGCTGAAGAATGTCAGTGTGCACAGCCACACGCTGTGTGACACCGCTGACATCCTGAAAAGCAACCCCACATACTGCAAGGGCCTGATGATAGAGCAGGACACATTCTCCAGCAGGAAGAGCAGAGTGGAGGGCAACACAAAGAGGAGGAGGAGGAAGTCCAAAAAAGTCAGCATCAGAATGTAAAGGATGGTGTTGTTCCTGGACAAAAAATGGGACCCAAGGAACCAGAGCACAGCCCCGTTCCCAGCCAGCCCACAGAGGCAGATGAGCAGTGTCACACTGTCTATGGCCACGCTGGTGACATCTGTCTCACAGAGATCATCTCCTTCAGTGGGTGAGGCAGGAGATGGGGACACGGTGGTCACCTCCATGGATGGACGCTGGGCAGGCAGTGGGATGTGGCCCCTGGCTGTGGTCAGAGTGGATGGGCAGTCAGTGCTTGGAGAATCCACGGATGGACCATGTGGATCCTCAGCATCTCCCTGCTGTGGGAAGGATTCAGTGGGGAGGAGTGAGATGTGCAGGGGAGGAGGGCAGTGGAAATTGTGAGGGTGGGAGAGGGAGGTGGGAGGGTTGGGCGGTTTGCCAGGGGATGCAGAAGCAAAGCACAGGGCAGAGGAGGGGGGAGCTGGGGAGGGCCCTGCAGTCACTGGGAGATGGTGGCAGGAACAGAGCAGCTGCTGCAGGAGAGGAAGGTGGGGTAGGGAGGAAGGCAAACATTGCACTGACCTGTTCCCTGTGGGGCAGCAGCAGGCAAAGGGCTCTGTGCAGATCAGCGGCGCTTCCTGGTCCCTCTTGCTCCTTTGGGATCCATGTCCTAAAGCGGCTCCTGCCAGGTCAGGGACATGAAGGAGAAAGTGCCCAGCTCACCAGGAGCTCCTCATTCCCGTCCTGCTGCCTCCTCTTTCTGTGCCCTGTCCTGGTGTTGTTTCCCTAGCCTTGGTGGAGTTAGGGGGGAGAAGGAAATTACATCTTTGGCTACTTCCTCGGAGTTATTTGTCTTGACCATTATTTTCTGCCATAGAGGAAGTAGCTCGACATGCAGATTTTTTGAATGGCTCCTCATTTCCTCCTGAATAGAAAAACTCTTTCAGATGGGACATTCTCCAAATACTTCCCCTCTCTCTGCAGGTTTCGGCCATCCCTCATTTATCTACCCAGAGAGGTCATTGTCCCTCCAGCAGCAGAGAGCTGCTGGTGGGGCTGGTGGCACTGGAATGCTGGCAGTGCTGGAAATGCTCACAGCATCTGAGTGCTCAGAAACAACTCCCCTTCTAGGAAGAGGTCCGGGATCATTGCCAAAACCTCCCCTGGCCCTAAGAAAACAAACTGAGCTGAGAATTCCCATTTCTGTCATTCCAGTGCAGGCTCACAGAGCCCAAGGGAAGGACAGCACTCAGTTGCTTGCAGCCAGGTCAGCAGCACTTAGAAACCACCCTGATTCCTGCCAATACCCCTGATGCTGCAGTGAAAGCTATTAGGGACCAGGTTTTGGGTTGCTGTGGTCCTCTTTCCAGCCCACCATTAGGGCTCATCCTCCTCCTCCTCAGACTTCAGAGCACTTGTGTTTGTTTTTACCTGACCCCATCCCTCTGGCCAACCTGTGCCAGGGCCTCACCACCCTTACATGGAAGGATTTCGTCCCAATATCCAAGCTAAACCCACCCTCTGTCAGTGGGAAGCCATTCCCCCTTGTCCTATCACTCCATACCCTTGTCCAAAATGCCTCTCCACCGATTCTAGAGCCCCATCAGCTCCTGGATCATGAAGTGTTTGCCCTTGAAAGGATTGGGCTGGTGAGGGGATGTGAGATTGCATAGCTGGGGACACAAACACGGTGTCAGCAAGGATGGGAGGTGACAGTTCTGGTCCCAGGGCCAGCAGTTTCCAGCAGGAGCATCCCAGATCCCTGAGGCATATGTCAGCCCGGGTAGGAATCACCTCACCTCAGCTTTCTAGGAATTCCTTGGAATTCACTGTAGGCTGCTGTCTGACTCCAAATGCAGTGTAGATGGTGACTCAGAGGAAACCTGCAACTTTCTAAGGATTAAAGCCAAGAGAACAGCATGGATTTGCCACTTCTCTGAAGAAATGACATCCTAAATCTTCCCTCTGCTGTGTGTCTGTGCTCCAGCTCGCACACAGAATTTATTACTGCATGAATCCTCTTGGAAACTGAATGGTGAGTGCCACTGAAACTGTGGTATGCAAGGGGGAAAACTAGATTTGAATCAGAAATCATTGTTTAACAGGACATTTGTAGTGCAGGGTCCTGAGGATCCATCCCAGAAATAAGAATAGGCAAGTTCAGGCAGTTCAAAAGACAAGATTTCTGGATTGAGGTTGCTATAAAATAGAATAGAAGCTGAGATGGAGCCCAAGTGCTTTGGGCACAGGTGTGGTTGCTGAGGCTCTCTCCCGTTGCTCATTTCCCAGGCAGAGTGAAGAGCAGCTGAGGAGCAGAGCCCTGAGCCCGTGGCAGGCTCTGAGGCAGCTGCCTGTGTGTGAGAGCCCTGGAGAACACGAGGCAGCACGGAGAGCAGGGGCTGTGGCAGGAGCTGGGACAGAGCCCGCGCCGGACGCTGCTCGGGCTCAGCCCGCGGGCTGCGCTCCCCTTTCCCAAGGGACCATTCCAGGGAACCTCCTGCAGATCCCGGCCCAGGGACAGCAGCTGGAGCCTGGCAGCTGAGGGCAGTGCAATGCGGGCAAGTTCTTCAGGCTGCCCGAGGAAACCAGGTCAGACTCTTCTCTTCCACCTTCATCAGGGCCCCCTCATTGGGTGGAACCTGGTTATTGATTTTGGGGGCAGAACTGAGGTCTGTAGGGAATTCAAACCTATAAACACTGTGGGAAAAGGGAGGGAATATTGAAAGGAGTGTCCTGCTGAAGGAATCCAGCAGCTCAGTGACATCAACTGACACCTGAGAGTTCAGCTCAGATCCATCCCAAAGCCATTTGCTCTCTGATATCTTCATGGGCAATTCCTTACTTCTCCAATTGTCTTTCTCCTCCAGCTGTGTCCTGTCCACAGCCAGGAAGGAGGTATCTCCCTGGCTTTTGTGCCAGGCACACAGGACCAGGCTCCCACATCCTCCTTGCCATCTGTCGTGTCCCTCACCCCTCCCTGTGCTGCTCCACATGGAAGCTGTGGGTGGGAAAAGATGGGAAAAGCCACGTTTGGGGGACAGCAGCGTTGCTGTGGTGTGTCTGTTTGTCACCCCTGCAGCTGTGTGAGGGCAGGAGAAGCAGCAGAGGTGTCACCATGAGCACTTTGTCCCCTGGCATGGAGGGAGCCAGCCCTGCCTGCTGGAGCCAGCCCAGTGGGAAGGCATCCCAGGGGAGCTGGAATGAGGAGAGCCACGACAACTGGAGCCAGTGTGACAGCAGGCAGTGGAGCAAAGTGCCTGTCCCGCTGCTGCTGCTGCTGCTGCTGTGCCTGTGTGGGATGGTGGGAATGGGGCTGTGCTCTGGCTCCTCGGCCAACAGCAGTGCCCACCCTCTGATTTGCTTCCTGGCTGAGAGCTGTGCAAAGGAATTCACCCCCTCTGGTAGTGTTGCCTTGCAGAGGGCTTTTGAGGCTTTTGTGCCAGAGCCAGGGAACAGGGACAACACAGTGGAATCATCATCAGGTGGAATAATCATGAAACAGCATCATCAAAGTATAGAACAATAAAATATCCAGAGTTGGAAGGGAGCCACAAGGAGCATGGAGTTGAGCTCCTGGCCCTGCACAGGACATGCCAACAATCCCAGCCTGTGCCTAAGAGCATTGTCCAAATGCTCCTTGAGCTCTGTCAGGGTGGTGCTGTGTGCAGCAGGGGAACTCCTGCCTGGGGCTGGATGTCATGAGGAATCCTCATGGAATGGTTTGGGATGTGTCCTGCTTTAGGCTACATTCAGGTGGAGGCCTCCAAATGAGATCTCTCTCGAAAACAAATTCAAGCAGCCCCTCCCTCCCCAGCTGGTTCAGGAAAAGATTTCCAGAGAGAAAAGTGGGAAAAACTGTTTATTTAACAAGCAAAGTATTTACAAGCATAACAAATGAAAGCAATATGAAACAATAAAATCTCTTGCTGTTCTGAAGAGTTGGCAAATTCAGCCAGTCCTTGTTGTGGAGTGCAGTTTGGCTCACTCAGTCCCTTATCAGTCCCTCTGGTGCTGGAAAATGCCGCGTCCCAGGCCCTGGTGGGCCACAGGTGTGAGCTCCCAGTGCTCTTCTGGGTTTTCAGACCAGAGCAGGTTTGAACAGTTCCAAGCAAAAGGAAAACCACAGTCCATGGAACTTCTCTGCCTCAGCCAGCTGAAAAAGCATAAAAGCAAAGGAGAGCTCTGTGCTGCATGATTGTGCTGCAGACAGCACGGTCTGGGAGCAGGAATGGGGAGGAGTGAGCGCAGCTTCTGAAAACAAACTGCTGCATCTGCTCTGCCTCTCTTTGCTCAAGAGCCAGTCTGAAATGTGCAAAACCTATTTCTGGGCTAAACAGATGAATGGGGATACAATTCAGCTCATAAAGTCACCCAGGACAGGTTGGAGGTGTGATAAATAGGTATGATTCATGCTGATAAAAATTGAAACAGTAATCAATATTGATACAGTAATTAATATTTGAGAATAATAAAATAGTTAATAGCTAAAAGTTGTAATGCCAAAGAAGAGAGGGAAAGGAGGGGCTCCACCCAACCCCCCTTCCCAGCTGATGTTTTCAAGGACCACAGGAAAGAAGCTGAAGATACAGTTGCTAAAAATGACCAAGAACCTGGTTGGGTCCAAGAAAATGCTAATTATAAGGGACTTATTGCTTTGATATGTAGATGCAGTGATACGTTAGTCTTGGCTTACATTGTACTGGCTTGGTGCGCATGTGCCACCCAAAGGTGAATTAAAGGACAACGAAGAAGACTACAGAGCCTTCATCAGTGACGACCCCCAAAGACTTGTGCGACCACCAAACCGAGTGGTGGTGCGTGCATGGTAAAGGTGGTGAGGAGGGTGGAGACAGAAAAGTGACGCACCGAAAATAGGAGGAGATGGCGTTGACACATGGCATATAAGGGGTGACTTTCACTTGGCAAGCTTGTACGTGAAGTGGCAAGGGTCATCGAACTCTGCCCTCTGTACCCCGCGGTTGTTTTTGCTTATGCGCTATTATTTGAACCAAATTATCCCTTGTTCATATATTTTCTAAACTATTTAATGAAAATTGTTACTACTTTTAATATTGTTTGGCCTTTTTATGATGGGATAATTGGGCAAACATAACAGAAGGATTGGTAGAGATAATCTCATTCCATCTCTCCTTTTGCCATGGGCAGAGACAACCAGAAAACCTTTTGCTTTGAAGTCTTGCTCTTTTGAAAGGAAGCTCAGGTG